AAAGCCTTTATCTAAATACTAACCTTAATTGATGGAATAAATTCAAGTTAACCATCGATTTAATCTCGAAAAATCGGTTTATTTGACTAGGACCATTCATTATAAACTTGAGTCAATATACGAATCCACCCAACCCAAGGCATCTGCTCCTAGTTTTGCCTGCAATCCCACCGGTAATCCACCCTTCAGATTACGAACATACAGAACATATAGAGCAAGCATTTGTGCTTTTGCATTGCAATATGTTATCGGTTGATAACTGTGCGCAGTTAAGTTTGAATGATAACCAAAAAGACAGATTTATGGGTTACTTGGGTGGATTAAGCGCCCGCATTGAACAACGCAGGAGGCAGATAGATGGAAGATAAAACCCAGTGCATTGGTTATCAGCCTTCGTTTCATGTATTATGAAGGTCAGGCAGATCAAGCATTACTGCGGTGAATCAAAGGGAATCCAGCTAAATGGTGGATGCTTTAGACAGAGCCTCTTGGAGAGAAGGAGCAGGGTCTCCGAAGAAGGGGGCTAGCCCCTCCCCCACATTTTTGCAAAACAATAGAGCTTTTCTCCAATTTTTTTGTTATGGGTGTTAAATTTACCCTTGAATGCTCCCCCCCCCCACTTTCCAACCTGCATCGTCTGAGCCCACGGGGAGTGTTGTGGTGGGCAACTCTTATTTGACGTTCTGGTACACATGGCAATCCGCCAGATACTTGGGCAAGGCAACGAACTAATGAGCTTTTGGAAGGTTCACGTCAAAGAAGTTCAAATCAAATGATTACAGAAAAACCTTCAAGTGATGGCAACCGACCCACCGGACTTGTTCCCTATACAGCGCTAGGGTCTTAATTTAATTGCCTTAAACGAAATTGACAACAAATATTGGTATTGTAATGTATTTAAAGATAAAATAAGGAAATCTGTGTCGTGTGTGACACTAGCATTGATCCCTCACGATATTTAACTGACATAAATCTTTTAACTCAGCTTAATATGTCTACAACTGGTAATGCCCATAACAAGCTTATACTAACAAGCATATTACTCTAGCGTGCCTTTAGCAAATTTTCCTTGAACTGTGTTTCGTGCTTATGAAACGGGTAGTCACGACCCCGAGACAGCAATCTCGGTAATGTGGATGATGGCCAATTGTCATTTTGTTAAGGGCAAGGTGCCGTTGTATTTTACAAATATGGCATATTAATGAATTGGATAATAATCAATAAGCTATAAATTTCTTTTTAAGGACTTCTTGGTTTAGTTTCTTCTCATCTGTTTTTTCATCTGTGTTCTACTCATTTCTTTGCTGTGTTTTCAGCATCCTTTTTTATAATTTTAATTCTCAGTGTTGGGATTCAGCTCTAGGGATGTTATCTGGCGGGGGGGGGGGGAATAATTAGTTACATTTAAACCCATTAGTTACATTTTCAAGACTGCCGTGTTGAGTTAAAATTTAAGTATTCATTCTTTTTTCAAAGATCTAACTATTTTATTTTGCAAGCTCAAAGAAATGCTTTGACGGTCTGATATGAACAACACATGCTATGGAAAAGTTTTCAATTTAAAAAATTGTATTTCAAACAAGGATATTTATAAAAGTATCTGATCTATGTAAATATGCCCAAAACCTCAGTGCAGTCGCCCAGGAAAGGCTGGACGTTCAGTCAGGGCTTTGCCTTCATATGTTTCGCATTAACTACAACAGTACTGGACTCTTTGGAGGGCATAATCACATAGAGTCGTGTAAAACATTTACTACAGTAGCACAGACAATTAGATAAAAGATCAGGAAACATTGCATTGTGTCCATCATCACGATGAGGTATCATATCCAGTGAAATGGATGGAACATCATGTGTTAAAGCACCATCTTGACCCAAATTTCCTCAAACATAGCTGTCATACTACCAATTCATTTCAAACATGTTTTACCATCTTGTCCGTCACTGCTCCAGAACTACCCCTCCGCCTATCAAACTATCAAACCAACGAATACCAGAAAAAAAAACACTCTACTATATCGTTCCGTATCTTACCAAATCATGAAATAAGAAAAGCAAACACAGTGTACAAAATATACCGTGAACCAACACACGCCCGACGATGCATTATCATACCTGCAATGCGTACCGTTCCAATCAGTACCTTAATACACAAACCATACAACACCAACCACTCCACAATGCACCTCATCATAGCACACAAACCCACATACGCTGTAACACACAATTCTTGCATTGCATAGGTTTTAGCTTAGCATTATTTCTTTGAATTGTGTATTTTGACATTCATCTATAAAGAACGGGTGATTGGCTTATATATAAAAAGAATTAATTTTAATGGATTCATTTCTAGAGGGAATGCGATGTCACTTGCCCTTTTGATTGCAAGCTGTCATCCTGGTCAGCGTACACGCCCTGTTCCAGGAAATGTGGATCTGGGGTCAAGACGAGGTTCAGGACTATAGTGCAAGAGGCCACTCATGGTGGGCAAATGTGTGCAGTTGCCAACGGCGAAAAGCAGATTTCAGAGACTGTTCCTTGCCTGGAGAGGCAGTGTTTTAACTTTGTGTGGAAGGCTGATCCGTGGGAAACATGCCAAATAACAAACCAAACCAGAAGTCGTGTAACACAGTGCGGCACAGGTATTACCTCTCCATTGATATCAAAAGTCCTTCCGATACATAAAATCTAGTTTATCGAAAGTATGTCGTTACATCATGGAGTTGCAATCTATTTTAAGCTTCAAGATCTTGTTTTATGAGCAAAACCTTATTCAGATTGAGATTGGAGCTCTGGCCTTTTTTTAACTCATCAGAATATGAAGAATATTAAGATGTACCAGGCTCAACAAGGCCTGCTTGTAGTTGAATAAGGGGTATAGCCTAGCCATTTATAACGAAGTACTTTTGAAGTCATATTCTCTTTAACATTTCTATTCCTGTGATATGTGACAATCACTTCTCTCGAAACAGCATTGGTTAATGCAGCTGACACACCCCCAATATTAGCCAATTAAAGATTTGAAACTCCTGTTTTCCATAAACACTCATTTTGTCTGAACCCAACACCATTCTTTTAAATAAAGTCTGAATGCTGGAAGAAGCTTTTAACTATCGTTTCCATCTACAGGCTTTCACACCCGGAAAGTGTACTGTACTGATAGCCGCTTCTCTGGCCGTCGTGCTCGTGTGAACGACTCTTTCTGTGATGCAAAAGAAAAGCCAGCAACCAAAGACTCGTGCCTTATGTACTGCCCGGGGGATTGCGTCGTCGGGCAATGGACGTCTTGGTCGCGCTGTTCATCGACTTGCCCGAGACCAGGCCATCGCAGACGAGAACGCACTGTCCTGCGATATCCGGCACATGATGGGAAAAATTGCCCTGTGCTGGAACGCTACGAGCCCTGTAATTTAAAAAATTGCTACACGCATCTTTGGAGGACAACTCAGTGGAGCAGCTGCATATTCTACACAGGTTTTTTGAGTTTTTCTCTCAGAGTATGACTTGATCCTTTTATATTAGTAGCTTGTAAGAACTTTGAGGTTATTTTATGCAGGTAACTCTGTTTTTTTACAAGTTTCCATGGAGGTTGTTCGGTCTTTTTTGTTATGTGTAATTACAATTTCATCCAAGACGGAAATATACTGCTGGCCCTGATTGAGTCGACCAATGCAATGCTGACTGGAACCTGAATTTGCATTGACTCGCCACATGCCCACTTTTCTGAGTATCAATGTGTATCAATGTTCCTAACGGCTGTAGCTGGGCCTCCAGAATCTCAACCTTCAAGTGAACTAGGATTAGCATTTACGTTAAGTAACCAAAAGGGTCAGCATTTATGTGAGTCATACTTCTGAAGTTGGCTAGCACCTGCAAGTTATCAGTTAGTTCTTAAAAGACGTAAAGTTCGATATGATGCTTCCATTCAAATTTCTAGACATCTGTTTCTCAACCATTTCAACTAATCAGCTACTGAACATAATGATAATGACGACAAATAAATCTCTGGTTATACGTAAAATAAGTTACATGAAATAATTGCCTAATCTTTATGAAAAATTTTCCAACAGAAACCATCATTAGCATAAAGTATTCACAGTGAGAATCAATGGAAGTAGCCTTTGTGTCCACTACTGCGTCGTCTTATTTCCTGTGTTGGTATAATCATCCGGCCTAGTTTTAGAACTGCAACTCACAACGAACAGAGTTTAGGTTCTAGCAGATGGTGTACTTAAACGGTGCCCCCCTACGAGCGAGAGCTCGTTGTCCCTGCAATGGTTGCTTGGAACTTTGTCCCTTTGTTATTATAAGTATCTCATTTGTTCTTAGATGACGCTTCATGCGGTGTAGGCACACAAAGGCGAATGGCTGATTGCGTACGAAGTGATGGAAAAATAGTCCACTCTTTCTATTGCCGCGTGGAAGGTAGACGTGTTCCAATATTACTACGTATGTGCACAGTCCCTTGCCCGCGAAACTGTGAATTGTCTGAATGGGGAATTTGGTCCAGTTGTCCGGAAGAATGTAATGGTATGGCTGTTCAAAGAAGGACCAGATTCACTCTAGCACAGGCTGAACATGAAGGACAATCATGCTTGGAAAGTGACTCATTACAAGGTAAGTTGAAAACAATTTGCTGACGGTTTGCATTCTTTTACCGAAAAGTATTTAACTCTTTCATTTTAACCATGAAATTCTTCCCACTTTTTGTATTTTAAACGAACTGTAAAATTTAGTTCACAAGTTTTTTGCTCATATGTTTTTTCTACAAATGCATATTTCTTTTCCGTGACTACAAACCAGCTGCACTGTGTTGAGAAGTACTTCTCAGCATTACGACGAATCCCAGAAACCATCTGAGATCTCAAGGGTTTGAATCTAAAATTTTTCTACTGGAACGTGGCAGGCTTGAAAAGAGTCGTGGCCGGCACCTGTCCCTACCAAGTATAATTCTTAAATAGTGAGGAATTAACGGTCTGATCTAAAAAGCTTGTATTTATCACCGTTTGAAAAGGTTTCCCGTGCTCCTTACTATTACATTTCGAAAGGTTTGATGGTATAGTGATTTTCTTCTTCTTAAGGTTCCTTTTAAAAGTTCTAAGTTTGCAAATATTCGTAAATCAACTCGAGTCGACCGCAATCCGAAAAGCAACCCAAGAGCCGTTCATTGTCAGAGGTAATATACCGCGTAGGCTCCTTAATTCTCGGTGTGTTCGAGGCTTACTCTATGGCTAGGCTGGTGCTCAAAAAAAGTGGCTCCGTGAGCTAGCTGGCGACAACCACCAAATACTCCAAAGAAGTTTGGCTTTCTAAAGGCAATATCGCACCTGTACGGTTGTGCAGCACCTAAGAGTTCAAATCAAATTTTGTCTCTTTTAGACCAAACACTGGAAAAAATTCATAGCGGCAACAGCATCGATAATCTGTGTTTGTTAGTTTATTCTTATCCATATTTTAATCATTTTGCTCTTATGTTATCACAGAATTTCGGTCCTGTCCTATGAAGCCGTGTTTCACTGTGCATGTCGGGGAATGGGGCGATTGCATTCCTAATGGTGATAACAACTGCGGTTATGGAACAATGAAACGAGAAGTGAGCTGCACGAGAGACGATGGGAGACTGGTCGATGATTCCAATTGCTTGCAACTAACTACAGGTGTGACTTGCATGTATTCCTTCCCAAACTAGAAAGTAAACAGCACGCGCAGTGGTACCGTTCGGCTCCATGAACGGAGGGGGGCGTGACTTGATTGGAGGGGGGCGTGACTTGATTGGAGGGGGGCGTGACTCGCCAGAGTGAGGGGCAGTTGGCCCTTTCCCAAACTATAAATGGGAGAGCTGAGGCTTACGCCATGCTTTTTTAATCGATAAATGTTGAAAATTTATCATATACATTTATCAGCTCTGATTTTATGATAAAATTACAACTTATGACAATACAGTTATTGAGTACATATGTACAATGTATTACATTTACTATATCTTATGTAACAATTTGACAAATGTCCAAATTCACGTCAAATTTAAATAAATAACGAGATAACTTAGAATGCCTACCAGAAGGAAGGAGATAACCCAAAGAATAAACTAAGATATCCTATATAATATCTCACGAGAGGCATCCTTTTCCAGGTTCCATTCCGAAAGAAGACATATGCAGAATTCCATGCAATGGTGATTGCGTGACAGCTCAGTGGTCAGGCTGGAGTTCTTGTTTCGGGCTCTGTACGGTCAAAAACGAATCAATATTCAGTTATGGGGTACAAATACGTACTAGACATATTTTACGACAACCTACCGAATATGGGATACGGTGTCCTCGTGACTTGGTGCTAAGGGAGAAATGTGACAAACCATTGTGTTTCACATTTTCTTGGAAGACAGGGCCATATATTGGAAAGAAAAGGTAAGATGCAGATTGTGTAAGCATGCATTTGTAAGTAATCCAGTTAAGAATATCCTAGATGCATTCGGTTATCAATTAAACAGTTCGGATTGGTTTTTTATACTGGCTACCCTACGCAGGGTGAAGATTTCGTAACGTCGGCAGTAAAATAATATTAAACTGGGGTCTGCAAAGCTCCAAATGAATGAAAAACGTGTATGAAATCCCTATTCATCTTTAACACACCGACAATATTTTTAATTAATCTCATTGCACCACAGGGACGTTTGGTGTGAACGATCTGATGGCCTAAATGTCAGCAATGGATGCGATTTGGCGTATAAGCCTTCGACAACGCAGTTATGTCAGCCAAAGTGTCAAGTGACTCATTCGTTTTGTAACTCAAAGAAAATTTGCGTTTGCAAGAAACATTACATTCCAATCCTGAGCAGCCATGGTCACTTGATACACTGTTTGTCTGACTCAAATACCTTCAGAAATAGAACGAAAGATAATGATGTCACCACAAATAAGTCTTCTAGTGGAGGAAAGGATAGTTCGTGTGAGTTTAAGCTAACAAAACATTATTTCATCTGTGAAATGAACCTCTGCACGTCTATGCTTGACATTTTCAAACCATTGAGGTAAAGTTTCTATTTTAAGAGTACTCCGTGAGCTTGTAGGTTGCCAGAGGCAGACATGAAGCATATTTGTTGCTCGATAATATGAGCACTTCACTAAACGACCTTGGAAATGCTTTCCAGGTACAATATAAGATTAAGCCATGTTTATCTTCTGTTAGCCAATGAATGAAAGTAATATCAATGAAAAGCCCTTATATTTTCTTTAATCCATGACGTTGTCAGGAAACTAAAATGGCTTATTGATACACGACAAGATGCAGATTTTGAATGTCTTTTTCTTGTTCTGGCACTACATTTTTATACTCTTATATTGTCAACTGGTTCCATTTAGGGTTTGGTGATCTGCCAATAATCATATGGATTGTCATCGGCGTCTGTTTTGTTTACTTCTTGCTATTTTTGGCCATCGTCATAGTGTACACAAGGTACGTTAGCATTCACATTCATGTAGTAAGGACTAAGTTACCGACCTCTCTAAGGAAAAACTCAGAGTCAAGAAAACTGATGATCCTTCTTCCGGACACCAACCTTTCAACTTCCGAGCTGAAAAACTTGAAAACCTTCCTCAGATAAATAACGGGAAAGGTGGGGTCTGGATGAGGCATTTTATTTCTTGGTTTTCATTGGTCGCTAACCGGTTCTGTCATGCTTTCTGGGCCTTTTAAAACCTCTAACCATTTTTCTCTCACTTTTAAAAAGAAAATCCTCACTAGGAATGTTGATGGAAACAAAAACAGAAATTTTGAATAAAAACTGAGAACAAAAGATTGTTAAATAATAAAGTTATTTTTATAATCCTTCCAAGGGTACAACATCGTCGAAAAATAAGGAACCATATTTTTGGTGCAAGATAAAGGCGAAACAAAAAATTTTGTTAGACATAGTGTTAAACTGCAGTGTGGAAAATATACTTTCTCTACTAATAATGTGAAATGGAAACTTAATGGTCTCCTTCGGAAAAAGGTTAAATAAAAGGCAACGATTGATCGTAGCGGAGAAACTTGGAAGCAATGGTCAGCTCTCAAGAATGTTTGTTTAGATCATTTTTGCTAATATTGCGCCACTTGCGAGCATCAGTAAAATTTTATGACTATAAAGATGGTGAAGTACAAATCATCAAATTTTAGGCGGCGTAAGAGTGGACCGAGAGTTCGACGAGCAAGCACAGCAGATGTTGGCACCCTGACTAACCCAGAAAGAATACCGTTAACCGAGCATAAGACTGGACACCACAGAACTGACAGCAAGATGAGTTTTGCGACCTCAAGTGGTCGGGGGTCAACCATGTCAGCAATAAGTGACCATGACGACGGGGAGCAATGGCCACAGCCTCCTGAAACTGTTGTTGTTTCTGAATTCATTCGACAACATCTTAAGAACTTCAACAAAAGCAGCTTTTGTTCAACGTTAAGTGATGAATCTTTACAAGATAAAAGCCAAGCCTACGGTTTGTCGAGAGGGACAAGTTTTGATGCTACAGGGACCTATAAATCTTTTTAAGGCACATATGGTTGAGTTACATGTCCAAAAATATTCTGCATGTTGCATGGTAACTCTGCCCGACAGTTTAATCCTCTGTGTGGGCCTTTAATTCTTGTTCTTTTGATATAGATATTGTTCTAGTGTGAAATACACGCATGCACCATTAGATACGTTAAGTGGGGAAAACACCCTTTCCGTTTAGGGAAAACAGTTTGCTTTCTACCTTGCATTTTGCTTCTATTTATCCAAAGCCTAGACAGGTACAGGATGTTTTGCCATCATTTCTAAGAGCTGGGAAGAGGTCAGTTCCGTATTCTAAAATTCTGGGCGTTTCTTGTGACGTCAGGTTAAATCACAGCAGGACTAACCCGTAGTGTCCCAGTCTAAGTGTTGCATGGGATATGGAGATGACCCTAGAGTGATTCTTATTTAAGAAATAAAGAATAGATTGACATTTATAACACGTATTATCGTAAGTATTTAGAATAAGCGAAGTTAAAATTATGCTTGTATTTGGTTAAAATCTGATGCATAATAAGGGAGAGTCGTTTACCAATATTGGTGCGGAATTTTAGTGACTAATGATTATTGATTTAACGTAAAAAATGTGAAAATGGTAGTATTGAAATAAAGTTTATCAATTAGAAAGTACATTTATTGTTCCAAAGTTTGTAAATTTGTTTGCTAGCTTAAAGCAGGTTTTGAAAAAAGTTCTGTGTTAACATGGAGGTTATGTATGCTTTCTTTTCTGAAAATGAGGAGCAATTGCATCATTAAATTAACTGCGAAATAATAATCCCAGTCATATTTTCAAAGTAATTGATAACAAACATCTAACTTAAATTGTTAACAGTTAGACCTTAACTGACTTTTTACACAATCCTTGATGAACAATTTTTTGGCGGTACAGAACTTGAAAATGGCTTTGAAAAAAACAAACATTTTACAACATATTGGCTAAAAGCTTTTTCGTCTAATACTTCTCAGAGCAAAAAACGTCAGAATAAGGGTCCGAAAGAACACGATGAAAAATATATACCCAGTCGTGGATCAAAATAGACAAATCAGAAAAACGCAAACACAATCAGTGCCGCGTGCCTAAAGATGTTACTACTCGCTTAAAAATATTTATCTAGCTGCCACGCTCATTTGGCTGCAAATAATGAAATACTGCACCTGCTATTAAGCCTCTCAGCATACAAGGAGATATTACTCATATTAATTTCAATCTTAGATTAAGAGGAATATTTCCACGTCATTGCTGCGATAGCTTGCTGTGTGACAGAGAAAACAAGTTGTTTACTGGATAACGGAAACTTGTCAGTAGAACAGAAACGGTCTTCAAACAAATGTTCTCCATCATCGATGAGAAATACGTAAGCATAAATTATGCTTATAGGTTTTATAACCTCAATGCACAAGTTTGTGCATGTAGCTTGAAAGCCGGCTCTTAATCGTTTCAAAATAATTTAACAGCTCAAAATCATTTTAAATAATCTAAATTCGTTCAAATTTTTCAGTGTTTTATTGCATTTATCTTATGATTCGTTTAAGTCAAACGTGTTGATCGTAGCAAGCATTTTACAATTAAATTTAACAGCTAATTGTTATGGTCTTACGTCAATATAATAAGACGTGCTATCAATAAATACAATATGATTCCTTTACATATTTTAGATATTTAATACTCAAATATTGTGTACAAGCTTTATATATTTTTAAACATTGGCTAAAATATCATCAACTTAAGTTTGCCGAGAAGAGGAATAAACGTCCCCTTCTTAAAGTAAAACATCAAGTTTTAGGAATTATGGATTAATTTCACCAATAAAATAGGCAACTTTCGAGACCAATCATACATTGTTTTTTGTTTGGCAGCGAAGAAGTAGAAGATTAGTTGAAATGAAATAGCTTGACGGGAGCAGGAAAAAGCATTGATTTTTTATCGATTTTTACGGTAAGTTTGATCAGTCTGTCAGTACAGAAAAGCTTGACTTACAAAATAAGAAACACATGCAGGCCTGAACTGTCAACTATCTTCAAATCTAATGTCAATTCATGTCTAATCGATTATGTGCTAATTAAAAGATACAAAGATCTATTTACAAGGATGAAATGACAGGGTTAGCTACTGTGTATTTAAAGACTAATTAAAGAAATAAAGCGTAAGATCAATCATACAACATATAACAAAAAAAATGAATTAAGGAACAAACCAACATTTTCATGACGATGCAGCCTGCTTGATTTGCTTTAATCCTTGCAAATATATGTATTTTGTCTGTTCAGCCATTTCTTGATAAATTTTCAAGTCCTCATTTTTCGCTCTCAGTGTTGACTCCAGTGCGTCTTTGATAGCTTCATTTTCGTCTATTTGAATCTCAAGCCTAAAAATGTAAGAAATTGCAATAATATCAAATAAGAAATTCAAAAGCGTGCCCAAAGGTTTCCACATAAACTGTTTCTTTCTATAAAAGCATCGTTGACTTCTAAATCCAGAAAACCAAGTGTTTTTAGGGTAATGAAAATGTAGAATTCGTTCCTTTCTCATCCAATCTTCGTTGCTTTCGAAGTTTTATTGTTTTGAATTGTGTTTGGTATTGCATAACCATAGAACTATAGAGCTTTAAGTGCATAAAGAATCTGTTTATTAAAAAGAAATTCCTTCATACTTCGTACGATAAGGTTGGAACGGTTGCAAAGACTTAGAACGAGAGGGCCTGGCTATGCAATACCAAAGACAATTCAAAACAATAAAACTAGCAAATAATTTGAATTTTTATGAGAAAAATAAGCGAATGCAAGTGAAGATAGAAAGTGGTAATAGAATTATATACGTAAAAGGAAAAAGGGATTTGAAAAAGCGGGAAATATACAGCATGGAAAATAAAACGAACGTAACAGCATGGAAAATAAAAGATGACAAAAAATGTATGAGAATGTGCAACTTTATATTGTACGACAGGCAAGCTAGTATATTTATGGAATCTTTACAACTCAAAACAATCCATAAACAATCTAAATCGCAAAGCATAAACCTTGCATACCATACCTTGCCCGCAGTTCTTCCAACTCCTCTAGCATTTCCTCCGCTGATTTTTCCTTTGTGCTTTTTTTCCCTGCCCGACTGGTTGGCCTGTTTTTAACTGAGCCCGTCTGCAATTTGTTGGAAACTCTCAGACGCTCTACTTGTTTTTCTAATTTTACATTTGTTTTTCTCAATTCAATGACTTTATTTTCACGCAATATATACTCTTCCCCAGCAGAATCAAGTCTGAAATCAAAAACATACCTCGTTATCAATTGCACGTAACCAAAAGTTTTCAAAAAACTGAATTTTATTGTGTTAGCAAAACTTAAGCCTGTGCAGTTAATGGAATTACCTACCAAAAATTGGCAATGCGTTTATCGACTATAAATTTATCTCATAAATTATCTATTGATGAATGATCTAAAATGCTTTTCATATTCACAGTTCTAGCTTAAAATCATTTACATTTAATCTAGGCCTGTTTTTGTAAATGAAAATGTGATACAGCATGCATACGTTCACTGAAAATAGGATGCTTTTAGGGGTACCTGCACTTATTGGAAAAGCAGAATGGTTTTGGCAGGAGCTATTCAATATACGAGAAACGAAAGGTAATAGCTTTAGGTAGGAACCATGTGAGGCTAATACTTCACGGCATCACTCCAAAGTCTTATACAAGATGACAAAATGGAAAAAATGGCTATCGTATCACTGTAATAAACATACTGAACTTTAGTGGAATTATTCAGTTACTAATATATGACTTTGAGACTAACTTAAAATGTCCGAACTAAAATTTTACTTATCCTTGAGCATTTTATTACGACTTAAACAAAGCAAGAAAAATCAAACCTTTTCTGTAAAACATCAACAAGCTCTATCAGTCTATCTCTCTCTACTTCTACAGCCTGCAGCATCGTTCGTATCTCTTGGAGTTTTGACGTATCAGTTTCACTAGCAAAAGAAGTTTGGTAAGATAATATTGCGAATGCATATAAAGAGCCGGGGCGCTGGTAGAAGGGGTCGTAGAAATAGATGCACCCACCTCTCCATACCATGGTCATTTGCTGGTACCTTATGCTAGATTTGAAATCTAAAATACCAGTTAGACTGAACAGAGAATGATAGAATAAATGGCAACGAGAGAAGTGGTAAGAGGTATTATCAAACAGGTATTATTTTTTATACGATGAAATTAGATACGGAAAGAAAGGCAGACAAGTTCAGGGAAAATTGGAGACTCAAATTACCTCTTAGAATAACATTTTGGGAAAAATCAGATCTGAGTACGAGAATCACAATGTAATCAAAGAGAGACAGCGGCTACTGGTTTCAGTAACAAAAGACAGTTTCAGGTGTGGAGCAAGTCAGGTTGCCATCACTCCTTATTACTAAAGCCAGGGTAACGGGCTAGGAATATAGAAATACAGAGACTTGCACTACGCTATAGTAGGCAAATTCGGGAAGTCTGAATCGCAGTTACAAATGCCAAGATTGCAATCGATGATAAAGAGAGAAAATAAATCAGTTACCTTGAAGCACTTGTTGCTCTCCTGAATCTATTAACGTATCCATTTCTTCTGTCTGCTGACGTAGGAGGTGTTGGAATAAAGGATGGTTTTGACTTGCTTATTGGCCTTTGCTCTAAATCGTCATTCTTTGCCCTTTCTTTTTCGCGTAATTTTATCTGTTTCAAGCTTTCGAGTTCATTTTCGAGATCCCTCACTTTATTTTCTTGTTCTTCAATTTGTCTCTTCAGCTCTTCATTTATTTCTAAATCCTGTTTGACTTTAATAACGCGACTGTTAGAATGTGATTCCATTTCTTCCTTTTCTTTCGACAACTTCACATTTAAGTTTTTCAGATACTCTTGTTCCCTCTAGAGAGTGAGACGCAAATTACAGGAAATGCTTGCAGAAAAAGAAAGGTGGGAAAATCCTGAGATTTATAGTGTTTTGATAAAGATTGAACTTTTCAAATAAAAATGCTCTTAAAAAATTTATCACAAGAAAATACATTAAAAAACGAAAGAAAGACAGAAAACCAAGTTAATCGTAGAATAAGATTGTAAGATAGAGGACATTAATTTAAATACTCGATATGAATAATGAAAAAGAAACAAAATTGTTAATAGTTAAAGTACATGAGTGTTAAAGAGAAAGAAGTTAGCTAATTGAAAAAATATATTATCGCCTAGTGACATCATGTCAATTTAAAAACATGTATGATTTGGTGCTATTCGTGAAAAATATTCTGAAAATGGATGGAAATGTTATATACACTTGAAAGCTACTGGAAAGAAAACAAATATCTGACAGAATACCATCGCACAATTGCATTTAGTTTACTATGGCTATGAGCACTTGTATACGACTGTGGAATTGATGTAGGAGACAAAACGAGCTGCATTTACCAACAAAGCAGACACAAGTTCGTCGTCGTGTTTCCCCTTTTCTGTTAAAGTATTAACTTGCGCCTTCGCACTCTTTAATTCTTTACTCAAAACTTGACTCCGCGTCTTCGCAGCATCGTGCTTTTCTTTCAGACGTGTGTATTCCTTTTGTAGAACTTCTAATTCGACTTGCAATTTCTGAAATAAAATATACTAAAAACCAACAAAAATATTTTAGAAGAAACGACTTGCATGACTACATTTAAATATTTTGTTGACGATTGGAAAACAATAAATGGCGAAAGAAGACTTAAGAAAATGATTGAACTTTACAACTAAAACTTCAAAGAAGCTAGACTTTTCTTCTCCAATATCAGAGTTTTGCCCAGTTTGGGTAAGAAAAATTTATTTAGTAAGACTTATTAAGTAAGACTTATTAAGTAAGACTTAGTGAGAATTAGTAAGACAGTAAGACTTAATGTCTCACTTTGCTGTTAGTACTTTTGGGTACTCTATAATCAGCGGGTATCGGCAACCTGGCGTCATCATCGAGTGTCTTGAATTACAAAAAGGTTTCTCATACCTTTCAATGAAAGTAATTTTCTTTTAGATATCTTGTTAAGATATGCTTATGAAGAAACTGAGGGCACCACCACGGTTAGCGAACAAAATAAAAAACTCACAGCTCCTGTCGCAAACACAGTTTGATGCAAAATGAAATCTAACCTGTTGGTTATCTTTACGTTCTTGTTCAATCTTCTTTATTGTCAATCGTATCTTTTCATCGTGCATCGAGGTTGCAAGTGGACTTTGATAGCTCATCGCAGATAACGCAGACATGTTGCCATCTCTAGAAGAAGACCTAGTTGACTGTACTAGTTTTCTCTGCAAATCGGAGACCTGCCAAGGGAACAAGATCACAGTATGAAATCGCAGTTAAATCAAAAGAAAAGAGGTTTCAGAGTAGTAAACAGAAGTGAAAGTTTGGCGTGACTAGCAGTACAACTTCCACAGTTTTTGGTGCTAGAGGGATGCCATAATGAAGACTTTCTTTCAGTAGAAATGGTCAAGTTAAGAAAATGGCAGGCCAAACAAACGTTGGCTACTAAGCAAAAAATGTTTTAACTACGCTAAGATGAAAAAACTTAATCTGTTGCTTACTGTTAGTGTTAGCCACACCAAGATAGTTTAAAAAGAAAATTATTTACTTTCTAAATATATGAAAACGCCTTCCTCGTATCATGTCATGGCGGCATTAAAAACGGAAACAAATGTATGCAGATCAGGATCGTTTTGAAGCAAGCTGTGTCAAGGATGGACTTCAAATTTCTACTAACAAAATATGTAGATTTTTAGGGATTGGAAAATTTAAAAATGAAATTTAAAAGTTTAGAGTCTTCTTGGTATAGAGACAATGTTAACTAATAATTTTTCAAGGAATCCATTCCAAACTTCAATGACCCTTTGGATAAATCCATCTTTGGTTGTTTGGAAACTTCTCTTTTTACTTTATTTAGCTGACTTAAACGAAAAACCAAACATGATCAAAAATGTTCAGATCAGATCCTTGTGTAGGCCAGGGAAGGAAGTCGATACTTTCCTTTCAAGGCCTTTGCCAAACTTGGTAACATTGTTGCGCGACAAAGTTGCTCGAAATTTTGTTGATTTTTCGCCGTCGAATCATTGTGGCCAAACTGGGCAACATTGTCGTACAGCATCTACTGCTGATGTTGTTACAACAGCGCGCCAAATTTGATCTGATAAATGGTTTTCCGCGCCATATTTGATTTGAGCACAAATTTTGAAAAATAAAGATGCAGCAACTGAAAGCTGATTTTGACATCACAACACTATTGTTGCTTTTAGCACTCTTTGGTCGAGCACGCGTAGAAGCAGTAGCATTTGGCCAATTTATTGTTTTCGAAGAACTTCCACTTGGACTTGTTTCAGATTATACCTTTTTATTCTTCCAACACCATTCTTTCTCTTCAAGGACTTCTTCCCATTCTGTATAATCAACTTCAAAGCTTAAACTTTGACAGGCCATCTTATTTGAATCGAGTCCAGCACATTGTTTTGCACTACAACACTGCGCATGTTGATTTTTCTCAGATGAATTGTTGCTCGACAATGTGGCCAAACTGGAAAAACATACAGCTGAGCAACAAATGTTGCCGAAAAATGTTTGAGCATGTTCAAACATTAGAGCAACAAAGTTCTTGATGAATTAGGAAAATATTATCTTTTGAAGAAGAAATCAATGGTATTAAATGACAATTATTGTCAATTCTAACCTTGTTCTGCAAATTCAAAATTTGCTGTTGTCTTCCTCGCCAATTGCTTTCAGAATTTAGGAGTTTTTGAATATCAACATCTTCTCCAATCTCATTTGTCAAAACCTAAAATGATGCAAAAATGCATTTTAACTTAAACGTTATATCTAAATATGCTAACCATCACCGTCTTTTTTTTAGCACTGAATTTCGTGTGAGCACTGAATGTTTTGTGAAAAGTCGTGTGAAAACTATTTGTCATCGTATGACTGATTTAGGAAGTACTGCAGAAAATGATGTAAACATGTTAAAATAAATTATATGCAATTACACTTATTTTTTCTTTCTTTTAATGTTCCCCAATCAGGTTCAAATGCTTGTCCTCCACTTCAAGTTGTGTAAATGCAAACAGCTTTAAAACCTGTTCGATTTGAGACCAAATACAAATCAATAAAATAATCAGCAACCGAAACTGGAATCTAAGTCAAAGGCTTTGGTTACACGATTAACTTTTGTGCTACAAGTTACTACCTTATGTGCTATTTTCAGCTCTTTCTTCTGTGATTCTACTTGGTTTCTATATTCAAAAACTTTAGATGTCAACTGCGTGACTTTGCCTTCAAGTTCTGCTACCTTGTTAACCTGCAAGAAAGGAACAACTGATGAAAATTTTCAAGAATCCATTTCCCCATATTATATTTCAAAAAGTATATAAAGTAAGATGTAATCCAAGCCTCCAATGTTTATAAACTGTTAGCTACCCCTCTTTATTATATTGTCTTTTTTCCTTTTCTCGTCTGATAATAGCAATAATCATATATAATTTTTTTACATTTATTGACCTGATATTGCTTTTTTATGTATGCTTCTGAAGCTTTTCTGCATAACGCAATTTTCCTGTAGTTTTCAATATAAAAATTACAAAGCCATGGATAAATCAACTGAAAATGAATAAAGACTGAATCGCTTTCACAGAAATAATGCAAAATTATCCTCGAAACCCCCCCCCCTTCGAATAAGCCCCCACCCTAGAACTACAAATTATAAATAAGCCCTCCTCGAATTAACCCTCACTGCTACCGTAAATTCTCAAATTAGACCCCTCAATTTGATGATTTTTGCCATCTGAGGTTGCCTATGGCGTTCTATTGAACTACCACAACAAATTCATACTTTTGGTAGTAATTAGTTAAATGCTCATAAAGAAATTTCTACTAAAATAAACGAGGTCTTTTAAGAATGTCTTCTTTATAACCCCCCCCCCCCCTCGAATAAGGCCCATCAAAAACTAATTAAATATATAAATATAATAATAATCAAAAATAATAAGCCCCCAGGGGGGCTAATTCGAAAGGCATAATATCATAGTATCATGTTATACTAAGAATGCCGAAGTTTTTTTCACCCTTCAGCGTCCAAAAGGCGTACGGGGGTGGGAAGGTTCCGGGAAGGGGGGGGGCTGAAATTTTTTTTTGTGCCCCGAAAAATGATAAACGCCCCAAAATTTTTAAACGAGTATAAAACTTTAAAAAACCACATGTGGAGCTTCTAATATTAGTCAGAAAATGAAA